ATTGTTTTGTTTTGGGTACTGGGGATCAAACCCAGGTGTACATTACCACTGAGCTACATCTCCACCAGCTTTTCTTATTTTGAGACATGGTCTACTAAGTAGCTTAAGGCCTTATTAAGTTGTTGAGGCTGGCCTGGAACTTGTGATCCCCTTGCTCAGCCTCCTGAGTCTCTGGGATTATAGGTATGCAGCAGTGCACTTGGCTTCTTTAAAAAATATATATAATTTTTTTTAATTCTGAGAAAGGGTCTTTTTAAGTTGCTGAGGTTGGTCTTGAATTTGTGATGCTCCTACCTCAGCCTCCCTGGGATTACCAGCCTGCTCAGATGTATGCTCAGTCATGATTTCTTAGACAGGGATACCTTCTGAGAACTGTATCATTAGTCAATTTCATTCTCAGCCATCCTGTGGAAACATCAAAGAGTACACTGTCATAAAGCTACATGGTATATTCTCTGTGGCCTCTTGATGCAATCAAAATGTGGTAAACACAAGATGTGTGAAGGTGCTGCAGGTATAACAAGGCATATTGTTTTATAGTAAACTTTTTGCTTCATAAGTAGTAGGAATGCATGGTATAATACTGATAAAATACAGTATAGTAAATATGTAAACCAGCCACATAATTGTTTATTGTCATTATCCAGTATTATGTACTGCATGTACTTGTATGTACTCTGCTTTTATATGATTGGCAGCCAGTAGGTTTCTTTACATCAGTATCTCCATGAGTAGTGCATTGCCCCAAAATATTAGGAAGGCTACCAATATCACTAATAGGAATTTTTCAGCTTCATTATGGGATCATTGTGGTATATGCAGTCTGTCATAGGCCAAAATTTCATCATGTGGTACATAACTGTACTGTAAATTTTTCTTTTATCTCTAACCTTCTCCATTCTACACACATATAATCACTGTTAGAATATTCCAGTGGCAAACTCAAGCAAAGGTGAATATAGCAAATATGTATCCTCATCTACTCTATCATAAAGGATAGCATGATACACACATTGTTGTGTACATTCATTTCCTTCTAGTGATCTTTTAGTTTTTTGTTGTTGTTGTACTAGGGAACTCAGGGGTGCTTAACCACTGAGTCACATCACCAGCCCTCTTTTTATATTTTATTTAGAGACAAGGTCTCACTAAATTGCTTAGGGCTTCGATAAGTTCCTTAGGCTGGCTTTGAACTTGTGATCCTACTGCCTCAGCCTCCTGAGCTGCTGGGATTACAGATGAGTGACACTGCAGCTGGTTCTTTCAGCCATCTTTATGAAGAGTCCGACAGCTGTATTGTTGACTGAAATACTAATAATGAAGCAGCTGAAAAGGTCTTAAGCTTTTACAATGTTACCATATTTACATCCTAATATTCAACATTTAAAAAAATTTTTTTTTAGTAGTAGGTGGATAGTAGTTGGAGACAATGCCTTTATTTTATTTATTTTTATGTGGTGCTGAGAATCGAACCCAGTGTCTCACATGTGCTAGATGAGTGCTCTACCACTAAGCCACAACCTCAGCCCCATATTCAATGTTTTTAAAAATTGTTTTTAGTTCTAGATGGACATAACACCCTTATTTTACTGATTTTTTTAATGTGGTACTGAAGATTGAACCCAGTGCCTCACACATGCTAGGCGAGTGTTCTACCATTGAGCTGCAGCCTCAGCCCATAATACTCAACTTTAAAATTTCACTTTTATAAGAAATGGGGTCTTGGCTGGGGTTGTGGCTCAGTGGTAGAGCACTGATCTAGCATGTGTGAGGCCCTGGGTTCCATCCTCAGCACCACATAAAAATAAATTAAAGGTATTATGTCCAACTACAATTAAAAATAATTTTTTTTTTTTAAAAAAGAAGAGAATGGGATCTTAGTAGGATGTCCAGGCTGCCCCCAAACTCCTGGACTCAAGGGAGTCTCCTGCCTTAACCTCTTTAGTACCTGGGACTATAGGTGTATAACACTGTGCCTGATTTATGATTACTTTTTGTGATTCTGGGGATTGAACTCAAGAATTTGCACATGTTAATCATGCACTTTACCAAGGAGCTACATCCTCAGCCCAGGGACAGATATTTACACGATGTCCCAGGATGTAACATTCCAACCTGTCCCTTCCAAATTTCTTAACTATTGACCCTTACTGAACTTGGCGGCTCACACCTGCAATACGAGAAATTTGGGAGGCTGAATCAGTAGAATTGCAAATTTGAGGCCAGCCTTTGTAAATTAGTGATAACCTGTCTCAAATAAAAAATAAAATGACTGGGGATATGGCTCAGCAGTTAAACACCCCTGGGTTCAATGCCTGGTACCAAAAATCAATCAATTAGTCAATCGATAGCTCCTGCAATAAATGTCAGGAGTCTGAACTATGTCACAGTATAGTCATAGGAGTGATATTTACTTGGCTGTTTATCCCATAAGACTATGATTTTCTGGAGGACAAGAATGTGTCTTATGCATCATTATTGCCTAGAAGAGTGCCTGAAACATAACGAAGCCCTATTTTTGTAAAGTTTTGAAACCTGAATCACAGTGGATATCTTTGTAGAAAACAATTTTACTATTTTTGTGCTTCATATACTTGAGTATTTTGAGTATTTATGCCTTTGCTTTTGCTTTTCCAGAATGAATATGATGACTACCACTTTTTAAGTACTAACTACACATTCATTAGTCATCATTTTCAAACATATCTCATTTAACCTACAACTGTGTGGGTACTGGAATTATTTTGTGGGTGATGAAAGTTTCAGAGAAGTTAAGGAACTCACCCAAATTTGTACAGCTAGTGAGCATCAAAGCCAAAATTCAAAGCCAGTGGCCTTAACTATTCAAACATTATCTACCCGTTGCCTACTTCTAGAAATGCAGAAGGAAAGTTCAACCTCTGTTCATACCCTGTGTCTCAATTCAGAGTAAGATTGCTGAAGGCTGGCTGTATATCAGTATTATCAAATTCAGCATTTCAGTCCATTGTTTTAATGACCCTGGATATTTGAGACTAAAACAACAATATACATTTCTCATGTATAGGGGCTGCTTTCTATGCTGTGACTAATCCTAAACTCCACCTATAATTTATACTGTGTTGTTGCAAATTCTAATAGTGTCTACAAGGTATGAGGACGGTTGATGTGTTCACATTTGACCTTGATGATGTTGTAATAATGCCTGCATTTGCTACTTGCTTCCTGAGAGGATAGACTTCAATGCATCTTTATTGAGAATCCTTAAAATAGTATAGTTTTTTTTTTTTTTTGGTTCAATAGCAAAAGTTAGGTATTGAATATTAAAGGAGTCATAAAGTTAGTGAGCAACATTAGTTGTAACATATACCTTCTTCAATGAAGACTTAAATCTCTACTCTCTGCCAGATCTGTGTGAGGGGTTGGGGATATACCAGAGAACAAAAGAGATAAAAATTCCTCTGCATTGGAATTTCTATTATAGTGGAAAGCACAAAATGAAATGTAAAATGTAGGTCAGATGATAAAAAGTCTTATGGACAAGTGTAATGAATGCAGTAAGGGGAATAGAGAATACTGGGATGTATGTGCAATTTACACAGTGTTACACAAAAACTTTTTACACAGTGTGTTGCAATTATGACAAATCATTGGCTTTTGGCCCTTCCTTTCTGAGTATGACACACACTGCCCTGCATTTGTGTTAACATCTTGTTGGTTCAAATTTCCAAACATCATGTGAAACTTCAGTAATTCTTGTTCTGAAGTTCATTTCTACTTTCTTGGTGATCCAAGTTGGACTAGATAAAATCTAGATTTAAATCTAAAGGCTAGAAGAAGGCATTCCAACAATCTTGAGAATTTGGGAAGAATTAGAAGGGGCAGGGGAAAAGTCAAAACAGGACTTCTTTAGATAGGATAAGATAGAATTACCTTTACCTCTCCACCTCTGGCCTAATTACTCAGGAAGTAGAAAACAGCTCAAGGGCTTGGCAGAGCCTAGAGGCAGGTGGAAGGAGATCCTGGGTAGATTATAATAGCTGAAGCTGAAGAAGGAAGACAGTGCAATTACATATTGAATGAATGGGACAATGGTGGCCGTGGGAGAGGGGGGGGATGAATACTTTAGCTTCTCATAAACTCCATCAGTTATCTCGCCTCTCCTCCCCCCAAAGACAAAAAACAACAAACAAATAAACAAACAACCCCTCCCCCCAAACCAAACTATTCTTCAATTGTGGCTAACGGTTTTTTTTTCAATCACATGTCAGATATTGAAAAAGCATTTTGGGGGCTGGGGCTGAAGCTCAGTGGTAAAGCGCTCGCCTCTCTTGTGTGAGGCACTGGGTTCGGTCCTCAGCACCACATAAGAATAAAGAAAGATACTGTGTGTTCATCTACAACTTAAAAAAAAAAAAAGCAATTTCGGAGAACCTCGTATTGTACTGATCTACCATACAGTTTAAGTGTGCTTGGAAAGGCAGCTTCTACCCATGATCCTGTAAGCTGGACAAGGCGGTGGCAGACAGACGTTAGAGCGGTGACGGTGCACATCTGGCGACTAGAAGAGCGGGTGGCGATGATAATGGTGGTAATTAAGTCATGGCTTCCTCTCCTTGTTAAGTCAAAATTATTAAAAACTCAACCTCAACGACGTTCACGTCATATGGCGTTGAGGCTTCTCTTCTGCGGTGCATCTGGGGGCCCCGCCAGTGTTAGACCCCAAAACTATGCCAGGGCCCGAGGCGTGACCCTCAAGGCCGCCGCCCAAGGTCTGGTCTCCCGGCGGGGCTCGCAGGCGGCCCCGGCCTCCCCGCACGGCCTGCTGGGAATTGTAGTTCAGTCGCCCCGCCTCTCTCCTCGGCTTCCTCTTGGCCCCGGATGAGTGAGCAGAATGGGGACCGCGGGCCGGACCCAGAGAGCGCGGGACCACAATTTCCAACCGACCGAAGCTTCGAGCACGCAGTCGCAGGTAGTCGGCGGCGCGCTCCGCGTCCCCGCGCACGCGCACACGGGCCGGGAGGTGGCGGGATTCGGCCGCGTGCGCTTTCCCGCCCGGGCTCGCCACGCCTCCGGCTGCGCGTCGGGCATCGCCCACACGCTCGGTGTTGGCTTCCTCGCGCCTCCACGCGCCCCTCCTTCACCTCAGTTTTCTTCTAGAGCCCAGGCCCCGCCCGTATCCCGCCTACCGGGCCTGGTTCGCCAGGCCCCAGCCCGCTCCTCCCCGCTCCTCGCCTCTGCCCCCCCTGCTGATTTTCTGCTGAAGGCTGAAGCTCCATGTTGTCCCCTCAGCGAGCGGTAGCGGCTGCCTCGAGAGGAGCAGGTGAGGCCGCCACTTGCCCCCGACCCGCCCTGTGGTCACCCCGCCGCCCTCCCTCCTAAGGCTCGGAGGAGACTGCCTTCTAGTCCCGGGGCTGCGACCTCGCGCCTGCCGTCGTCCCTACGCTTCGCGCGTTTGGCGCCCGGGGCTCCTTGCGTGGCCCGTGGGGCGGCGCCTTCCTCAGCCTT